ATGTACGTCAAGTTTTACAGTATTGGGACTGAGGCGCCAGAACTGCAGCTGATGTGCGCTGTAGCACGATACTATTCTAGTTTTCATTCTTATTGTTTCCACAACAATGTTTAGTGAGTAAATCTACTGAAATTGCCACCATAACAGTGGATATGTGTAACACGTAGGGCTACCACATTTTTAAATTACTATTAGTATTATTTGAAGTTAACATAATAAAATACGTAGACCTACACCAAAAAACTAGTTGAGGATAAAATTATTTCAAATTGGGCAATTCCAGCGTTATGGAAGTGACATTTGCAGTCAAAACCTGAAATATAAATTATCAGAAAATGCATTTAATACTGAAACGTCTGTTTATATAGGCCTATCCATATTCCCTTAATAAAGGAGTCAAGACATTAGACAAATATCAGTCTACACATGTGTTTTATATTTAATATGAGCGAAATACACATGTGACGTGACACAAAAAACCTTTAACTTTTAGATGGCAAAATATTTTTTTTAGTAATTCTACGAATTACTGCGCAAAACAAAAGTAGGCTAATACCATAGACTGTAATACTAACCGGATGAAGAAGGGTCGGCCTCCACAGAACATAAAATATTCATTTTATTTTATCTTTCGTGTTAGCATTTTAACTTTTAAACAGAACATTTAAAAACGAAAGAAAGCGGATTGCTCTCTGCTTAGTCATCCGTGAAATCTGCATTTCTCTCTGGCGCGTTCACTACTGCGAAGATCGCGAGTCAGCATCGTCAACTTCATCTTTCCAGCCGACACACTGGCTGAAAACACTTTATTAATAAACAATTAAAATGTCTCCTTGCTATATTTTACATATTCATAATCATTACTTTTACCGGTTCTTTGTGGCAGCTTTTAGATAGGCTACTTACAACATGAACGCGTCACCGCATCAGCACCGAAAACATGATTTTTTTTTCTTTCAAATCTAAAATCAAAAATCGTGATACGAACCGAATTGTAGGTTTGCTTTATCGATCGTTAAGCCTTAGTAAGATGAGAAAGCAGGAGTTTAGTCGTTTGTCGTGGTTGTAAAAAAACAATGGCTATCTGAACATCTTTGCCAAGCGCAAACCGGCTACGTAATCAATACATTAGCGGGGAGGGTCATGCCTTTTTTCACAATCATTTTGGAGGGTCATAGAAACATTTATTACTGGCTAAGGGAGGGTCAAGTCTTTTTTGACTACAGATCTCAAATTTCCGCCGGTGGCCCCTTAAATAAAAAACGAACAGTCCCTAAAAGAAACGATGTGAAGTTGATATTTTAGTCACTGGCTTGACTTACTGATGCATAAACAGTATTGAACGATTTTGAGAGAAAGATTACCTGTCTGAACTTGAACAATTACACATCAGAAAGTGTTGCTTGGTAGCTCGATCCGAGGCCAGCTCTGTATTGGCCCAAGTTGAGGAAACAGTCGGTGAAATGTTTGGAAATTTCCAGAGAAAATAAAATTAACCCATTGTTTCTTCAGAGGCTCAGATGAAGGAACTAAAAAATACTTTTGTGTTCATGTGTACATCCAAACACTGAGCAACTGCCATGCTTCGGTTTTTCAGGGGTGTTTTTAAAAAACGAGATTTAACTAAGAAGGAGAAAACAATGGTGTTTGAGACTCACTGTATGTCATGTCCATGTACTGAACTCTTGTTATTTAACTATGCTAACATAAATTCAATTTCACATTCTAGGGCACCTTTAAATGTTGTTGACACTTTGAACGTTTAGGGAACATTCAGAAATAACATTTATATCTTAATTGGAACGTTATCAAAAAGTCCTTAGAGCATATTTGTGTTAGCTGTGTATGCACTGAAGCATAAATGCACTTTAATTTCTCCTTACTGTAGTTTCAAGCACTCAGAAATGGCCAGTTGGTCTCGTTTTCTCTGCAGTGCTTTCTGTCGCTCCTGCTGGACCGCCTGCTCTTCTCTGCAAGCCATTCGGGCCAAGATCTCTCTGTCCACGGCTCTGCTGGCGTTCTGCCTCATGCGCTTGAGCTCGATCTGAGCCTCTCTTTCCTTCAGGACCTCCGCCAGCCTCAGAGCGCTCTAGAACAACAAGAGGATCGTTACTACTAACATTTCACCACAGAAAAACACTTGTGGTCTAATAACGTAAGACACACACATGGAGGCCTTTGACTCTGTCCGTCTGGTGGTACTGCTGGGTTTTAGTTTCCTCAATTATCTCCTTTCGTATCTGGGCCTGATATCTTGCTTCTTCCAAGTCGATACGTTTCTTCTCCTCCTCTTCCATCGCCTCTCGAATTGTTTTCGCCTCCAGTTTTTTCCGTCGTTCTCCCTGTAAGGACAAAATCAGATTTGTTTGTTGTACTTTGTTACTGTAAACATCAAGTCTCATATTATAACCCTCAGAGACCCAGGTATTCTTTTTTATTTATTTATTTTTAATGAAGAAAACTAAAATATCACATCAAGATGACATTCAAATTACAATTAAACATTATACCAAATTGTAACAAACTTAGTATTATAATAGGGGCACAGACACAAAAAGAAAATCAGACAGCGAGAAGTCTAAATAAGGCTATATAAAAACAATAAAAGTGTCTGACAATGTTTCTATAGACAGACGTCTTTACTTTAATAATCATAATAATTTATAATTTAAATAAATTATTCTTATTTCTTAATAAAGACTCATAAAAAGGCCTATTTTCTTCCTTAAAAGTGATTAGGTCATTAAAAAGCATGATGTTTACGCATATATAGTTTTAGGAAGTACGGAGCCCCGCACAATAAGAGAGCTACAAATGCAGTAACTCCAGTGCGATGCTGTCACTCACAGCTATGGTGTTGGGCCAGTGTTTGACGAGCTCTTTAGAGCGCATGTGCAGCGCCTCCCGCTGTTCAGCCGCTGCTATTACACTTCTGCTGTGACGATTCACTCCGTTCACACGGTCCTGGACGCGCTGCCATTCAGATCTGGACAACACTAGGTCTGCTTCGGGTTTTTCCATCTCCCAACTCACAACTGTATGCATTAGACAACATATTTCCAAGTTATTATAAAAGCCATTCTAACCGAAAGGGTGACATTTCTGTCCCCAGGTCATTATATGTATAAAATTGCATGAAAATTAACTCTAAAATACATTTTATTATTAAGCAAAATGTCCTGCACACTAAGCTAACTACAAATTTAAAATGTATAATTAAAAACATAAATAAAAACTACATAGAACACTAAAAAATATGTCCCCACTCTCTATCTCTAAACTTTACCATGAAATATAATGATTAAAATCTATCAGAAATCAGATTTTTTTTGCATTGTTGTTTGACTTTATATCCAATCTATGTTTTTAAATATTTGATCTAATATTTTAGATAAAATACATATTTTAGTCGTGTCCCCGGGTTTTCACTCAGTCCTGTTTTAAACCGAAATTTAAAAAGCAAACATAAGTTCACAATAAAACGAAATAAAGCCACAACACAACAGAAATAAGCCACAACACAACAGAAATAAAGCCACAACACAACAGAAATAAGCCACAACACAACAGAAATAAGCCGCCACAACACAACAGAAATAAGCCACAACACAACAGAAATAAAGCCACAACACAACAGAAATAAGCCACAACACAACAGAAATAAAGCCACAACACAACAGAAATAAAGCCACAACACAACAGAAATAAGCCGCCACAACACAACAGAAATAAGCCACAACACAACAGAAATAAATGAGTTTCGGTAACAGGACTGAGAAAACATGCGTCCATCTTTTGCTTAGAAACCTTGTAAAAATTAAATAAAGTTGCCTGAGATTGAACAACTAGTGTTGTCAAAATATTCGGTACTTCGGTACCAAGTCGGTACTAACATTTTTTAAACGTCACGGTACCAAGTCCCGGTGGTACCGAATACCCGGTCAAACCCGGTTCTGGATGCACATGCATGCACGAAGGGCGTGAAGTTGCGTCCGCTTCATGAAAGCGCTGAGACATGGCGACCGGCGGCGCTGCTGATGTGGTGTCTGTGTATTAATCTGGAAAAAGACTATTTAAATATTAACCCTGCATGTTCTGCTTGTCTCTGTGTGAATGAACGGCGCAGACGCGCGGTTTCATTTAACGTTACCTCACACACACACACACACACACACACACACACACACACACACACACTGAAGCACGAGTGACGCTCGCGCTGTTTTCAGTCTCTGCTGCCTCACGATATGATGACATGATTCATGATTCAATTCATCTCCGAGAGTCACTTCATGAGCATTTTACCGTTTCCATTTGAGAAAAACTATCGCCATATCATACACGCACAGAAACTCAAAGGTCTTCACGGCAACCCGTCAAAATAAAAGTTTGGTTTAACTTAAAGAAATTGACAGAAATAATTATATTAGGCTTCTGTACAATAGATTTAACTACGTCTCCATTAATTAAAAATACTACTACTACTACTAATAATAATAATAATAATAATAATGTGTGCATAGAAGGTTGCTTATTTTTCACTTGATTTTTTTGCAATATTTCTCAATATCATCTATTTTCATTTAAACAGCATGTAGCCTTCAATGCTTTCGTAAATTTACCGTCATAAATAATAAAGTCATTGAATTGAATTGAAATTTTTTTCTTCAAATAGTTAAATTGGAAAAATGGTTCAAACTGATTTTGCTATGGTACCGAAATTGGTACCGAGAACCGTAAAATGTTAATGGTATCGGTACTGACTACTGGAATTTTGGTACCGTGACATCCCTATGAACAACAATACACATTTTGAATAGTTAAATATGCATAGTATTAGATTCAGTGTTGAAAAATATAAAAAATAAAGTTTAATTTTGAAAAGTTACAATAAGCAAATGGTACATTCATGTAATGGTTACACAGATATTTTGTTGTGCAGTATTTTCTTTAAATACCTTGTATCCTTGTCTTATGTACAATACCTAAATGTACAATACCTAAATGTTTCCTCCTGTTTTTCTCTCCTCATTCTCGTCACTTTTTCGCTCTGGCTGGCGATCTGCTTTCTCTTCTCCTCCTCTTCCTCTTGCCTCCGAGCCTCCGCTGCTTTTGTCAGCTCTCTGTTGGTCAAATGGTCCTGATGGAAGACAGAAGAAGGGATTTCAAAACCGCATCTGATTCGATCTGCTTTTACAGTGTGAATGTTGTCCAACAACCGGCTTACACGAAAAGCATTCATTCTTTTTCTCTTCACTTCTCGATTCTGGCGCTCTTTGATGGCCTGTTCCCTCAGATGAAGATCTCGGAGTTGCTTCATCTCTTCAGCCTCCCTTCTCCTCTCCTGCTCCTTCTTCATGTCATGCTCCTTAACCCTAATAAAGGAGGAAACGTCAGACACATTGACACATTAAGGTGATTCCCAGCTAACAGGGAATGTTCTCAGAACTTTAGATACGGTTCTCTCAAAGTTACGAACAAACGTTCTTCTAGTAACATTATGTTTGTTCAAAGTTATCTGGTCTTTAATCATGTTCTCAAAACATTAACACAAAACAGAACTTATACATAATTCGTGGAGTTTTTTTTTACAGAAAAAGTAACAACTTTAACATAACACTACTTTCCATTAAACTAACTAAGTAATACAATTAGTTAATTTTAACGTAACACAATATTGTAATGTATTACTTTTAAAAGTAACTTTCCCCAACACTGTTCAAAAGTAACATTCCCACAGTGTTTGAAGAATAAAAAAAAATAAAAACATTTTAAATGTTGTTGACACTTTGAACGTTTAGGGAACATTCAGAAATAACATTTATATCTTAATTGGAACGTTATCAAAAAGTCCTTAGAGCATATTTGTGTTAGCTGTGTATGCACTGAAGCATAAATGCACTTTAATTTCTCCTTACTGTAGTTTCAAGCACTCAGAAATGGCCAGTTGGTCTCGTTTTCTCTGCAGTGCTTTCTGTCGCTCCTGCTGGACCGCCTGCTCTTCTCTGCAAGCCATTCGGGCCAAGATCTCTCTGTCCACGGCTCTGCTGGCGTTCTGCCTCATGCGCTTGAGCTCGATCTGAGCCTCTCTTTCCTTCAGGACCTCCGCCAGCCTCAGAGCGCTCTAGAACAACAAGAGGATCGTTTCTACTAACATTTCACCACAGAAAAACACTTGTGGTCTAATAACGTAAGACACACACATGGAGGCCTTTGACTCTGTCCGTCTGGTGGTACTGCTGGGTTTTAGTTTCCTCAATTATCTCCTTTCGTATCTGGGCCTGATATCTTGCTTCTTCCAAGTCGATACGTTTCTTCTCCTCCTCTTCCATCGCCTCTCGAATTGTTTTCGCCTCCAGTTTTTTCCGTCGTTCTCCCTGTAAGGACAAAATCAGATTTGTTTGTTGTACTTTGTTACTGTAAACATCAAGTCTCATATTATAACCCTCAGAGACCCAGGTATTCTTTTTTATTTATTTATTTTTAATGAAGAAAACTAAAATATCACATCAAGATGACATTCAAATTACAATTTAACATTATACCAAATTGTAACAAACTTAGTATTATAATAGGGGCACAGACACAAAAAGAAAATCAGACAGCGAGAAGTCTAAATAAGGCTATTTAAAAACAATAAAAGTGTCTGACAATGTTTCTATAGACAGACGTCTTTACTTTAATAATCATAATAATTTATAATTTAAATAAATTATTCTTATTTCTTAATAAAGACTCATAAAAAGGCCTATTTTCTTCCTTAAAAGTGATTAGGTCATTAAAAAGTATGATGTTTACGCATATATAGTTTTAGGAAGTACGGAGCCCCGCACAATAAGAGAGCTACAAATGCAGTAACTCCAGTGCGATGCTGTCACTCACAGCTATGGTGTTGGGCCAGTGTTTGACGAGCTCTTTAGAGCGCATGTGCAGCGCCTCCCGCTGTTCAGCCGCTGCTATTACACTTCTGCTGTGACGATTCACTCCGTTCACACGGTCCTGGACGCGCTGCCATTCAGATCTGGACAACACTAGGTCTGCTTCGGGTTTTTCCATCTCCCAACTCACAACTGTATGCATTAGACAACATATTTCCAAGTTATTATAAAAGCCATTCTAACCGAAAGGGTGACATTTCTGTCCCCAGGTCATTATATGTATAAAATTGCATGAAAATTAACTCTAAAATACATTTTATTATTAAAGTAACAACAGGTAACTTTTCAGCCTTCATAATATATTTCCAAGTCTCTTGTGATGGTACATCGACTTACAATAGGTTGAATGAAAGGTCTGCCATAGCCTGACGGGGTCTGTAGCGTTTTTAATCGTACTTTTAAACTTCGGGTTTCGGGTAGTAACCGGCGAACAAAGAGAACTACAAAATTCGACTGCTTTACGGCATATTCGTCACTTCCACCACCACCCCCACATCCTTAAAATCGGACTTGCGAGCCAAATGTTATAGTCATGGCCGAAGCAGCACAGAAAAACAAGAAAGCAAAGGTTTTATCGGAGCAAAGCAAAAAGAGAAAAAGAGAAAGTGATCGCGTTAAAGGCAGAACGAGGATCAACATTGCAGAGCTGCCAACTCTCACGCATTGGCCGTGAGACACCCGCATTTGATTGGTTTCACACGCTCACACGCCACACCCCCGGTTTCTCACGCTAAATTGTCAACCCGGTCGGTCAAATGCCTGAAAGATGAGTTTATCTATAGATCTCTACCTGTTGAGCCACTCGTGATCGACAAGTTATACCGCAAATTAGTTCAAATCTCCCGGAATCTAGAGCGAGCGCGCACGCGAGACAGAGACTGTGCTCCAACGCGCGCGGACGGCAGAGAGAGAAAGCGAGCGAGAGACCTTGCGTGTGCAGGGAGCATCGAACCCCCCATCGAAAAAAGAATGCCTCTCTCTAACCTCTCTAATTCGCTAGAGTAGTAGCGAATTATCAATCTGGTAGCTAGTAAACGATATTCTAGTTTTTGATGGTTAGCTATCGCTAGTATTCTCGTTCTGATTTGAACTTTGCAATCGATGAAATGTAAATAGCAAATGTTTGACCTAAAAAGTGTAGTCTACTCAACATGTACAAAGAAAGGAGGAAGATTATTAATAAAATCATATTTTAGGATACCTAACATGTCTGTGATATTTGTTTATTTGTCTTGCCTCAAGCTATAATGCAAATCGATTTGTAAAATTTGCAGATTCATTTATGGTAGCTTGATATTATAATATTGACGATATATGGTTATTATCAACCACTCAAACATTGCATTGAAGTATCATATAGATTCAGTAAAACGGTAACCAATAGACTAGGCTACTATAATGACGCTGGCTTATAAACGCGATCATTTGTCGTTATAAAAAAAATAAAACACATGAAATTATATTCATATGACATGCTGAAATATATGCCACTGTACCTGGGATGAAGACATTTCACACACGCGAGAACACCTGCATGTGACCTCCTCCTACAGTGTTCAGGGCTATCATGGTTGTCAACAAATGCACGTGCATGTAGGATGACAGTTTACGACAGTAGTAGAGGACAATACTGTTTCCCAACTGTAGGGGGAGCCCGAGAGCAAAAAACTACCTGTTGTTACCTTTAAGCAAAATGTCCTGCATACTAAGCTAACTACAAATTTAAAATGTATAATTAAAAACATAAATAAAAACTACATAGAACACTAAAAAATAGCATTTTCTGCATGTCCCCACTCTCTATCTCTAAACTTTACCATGAAATATAATGATTAAAATCTATCAGAAATCAGATTTTTTTTGCATTGTTGTTTGACTTTATATCCAATCTATGTTTTTAAATATTTTATCTAATATTTTAGATAAAATACATATTTTAGTCGTGTCCCCGGGTTTTCACTCAGTCCTGTTTTAAACCGAAATTTAAAAAGCAAACATAAGTTTACAATAAAACGAAATAAAGCCACAACACAACAGAAATAAGCCACAACACAACAGAAATAAGCCACAACACAACACAACAGAAATAAGCCACAACACAACAGAAATAAGCCACAACACAACAGAAATAAATGAGTTTCGGTAACAGGACTGAGAAAACATGCGTCCATCTTTTGCTTAGAAACCTTGTAAAAATTAAATAAAGTTGCCTGAGATTGAACAACAATACACATTTTGAATAGTTAAATATGCATAGTATTAGATTCAGTGTTGAAAAATATAAAAAATAAAGTTTCATTTTGAAAAGTTACAATAAGCAAATGGTACATTCATGTAATGGTTACACAGATATTTTGTTGTGCAGTATTTTCTTTAAATACCTTGTATCCTTGTCTTATGTACAATACCTAAATGTACAATACCTAAATGTACAATACCTAAATGTACAATACCTAAATGTACAATACCTAAATGTACAATACCTAAATGTTTCCTCCTGTTTTTCTCTCCTCATTCTCGTCACTTTTTCGCTCTGGCTGGCGATCTGCTTTCTCTTCTCCTCCTCTTCCTCTTGCCTCCGAGCCTCCGCTGCTTTTGTCAGCTCTCTGTTGGTCAAATGGTCCTGATGGAAGACAGAAGAAGGGATTTCAAAACCGCATCTGATTCGATCTGTTTTTACAGTGTGAATGTTGTCCAACAACCGGCTTACACGAAAAGCATTCATTCTTTTTCTCTTCACTTCTCGATTCTGGCGCTCTTTGATGGCCTGTTCCCTCAGATGAAGATCTCGGAGTTGCTTCATCTCTTCAGCCTCCCTTCTCCTCTCCTGCTCCTTCTTCATGTCATGCTCCTTAACCCTAATAAAGGAGGAAACGTCAGACACATTGACACATTAAGGTGATTCCCAGCTAACAGGGAATGTTCTCAGAACTTTAGAAACGGTTCTCTCAAAGTTACGAACAAACGTTCTTCTAGTAACATTATGTTTGTTCAAAGTTATCTGGTCTTTAATCATGTTCTCAAAACATTAACACAAAACAGAACTTATACATAATTCGTGGAGTGGTTTTTTTTACAGAAAAAGTAACAACATTAACATAACACTACTTTCCATTAAACTAACTAAGTAATACAATTAGTTAATTTTAACGTAACACAATATTGTAATGTATTACTTTTAAAAGTAACTTTCCCCAACACTGTTCAAAAGTAACATTCCCAGTGTTTGAAGAATAAAAACATTTTAAAGGTGCCCTAGAATGTTTTTTTTTATTATTTTATAATGTTTCCTGGGTTGCCCTTATAATGTTAGTATGTTTTTTAGATCAAAAATAATCATAATTTAGAAATAAATGGCATTTTTCCTAGCCTGCTTTTAGCCTCTGATTTGAACACTCTGTTTGAAGGGGCGTGTCTGCTGTGGGATTCAGTGTAACCGCGGCCACTGCTGTGATTGGCTGACATGCTTGCATATGAAATAGCTACGCATTACATGTGAAACTCTCTCGAATACTTTTACTACTGCTATTATACATTTTTACTATAACAGCTATCGAGATTAACGAATCGTGAGATGTTTTTAAAGTATTTAGATCTATTCCCATCACATAAAATGTTGCCGTGATGAGCATTGAGCAGATGACAGTGTGTTGATCGCGAGAATGAAGATATTATCATTGCAAAGCAGTTTCTGCACTCTCTCTAATGCTTTCACCAATGCAAACACGATGATGTAAATACAGTAAGAGCTTCGTTGTGCAGTAACGTGCGTCATTGATTTCATAACGAGTTTGGCAAGTGTCCAGATAAACTCGCGCTGTGTGGAAAGATTGTTCTTTGATCGCTTTCTGTATATAATTTGTTCACAATTTAAATACGATTATTTTCATCCTACTAAGGGACCGTTCGGTATTTATGGAAAGGTCCACCGGAGGAAAATAGGGGAGGGTCGTGTCTTTTTATTCTTTGTTGAGGGGAGGGTCATTCAATTTTTTTAGTCTAGGGGGGAGGGTCACCCAACTTTTCTATTCATGAAAACAGCAAAATTTCAAAGTGGCTTGTTTGGTGCATATTTTTTTCCATGTATCTCCATGTAGCTCTCTCAGTCTCGGCCCCCCGTCGCTATCAGATTGGTCTGACCCAACAAAAATCCAGTTTGGCGCTGTCTGACAGTGCGCGCTCAGAAAAATTGCATCATGTCAGAACTGAACGCCAATGAAATGTTTACCCGGCAAAGCTTTAAAGCACGAGCAAATAATGAACTTTTGTGATTGCGAATAACAAGGTCAGTATCCTGTGAGTGCTACTCTACCGCTGCATTAACATGTGATGTGAATGTACGTCAAGTTTTACAGTATTGGGACTGAGGCGCCAGAACTGCAGCTGATGTGCGCTGTAGCACGATACTATTCTAGTTTTCATTCTTATTGTTTCCACAACAATGTTTAGTGAGTAAATCTACTGAAATTGCCACCATAACAGTGGATATGTGTAACACGTAGGGCTACCACATTTTTAAATTACTATTAGTATTATTTGAAGTTAACATAATAAAATACGTAGACCTACACCAAAAAACTAGTTGAGGATAAAATTATTTCAAATTGGGCAATTCCAGCGTTATGGAAGTGACATTTGCAGTCAAAACCTGAAATATAAATTATCAGAAAATGCATTTAATACTGAAACGTCTGTTTATATAGGCCTATCCATATTCCCTTAATAAAGGAGTCAAGACATTAGACAAATATCAGTCTACACATGTGTTTTATATTTAATATGAGCGAAATACACATGTGACGTGACACAAAAAATCTTTAACTTTTAGATGGCAAAATATTTTTTTTTGTAATTCTACGAATTACTGCGCAAAACAAAAGTAGGCTAATACCATAGACTGTAATACTAACCGGATGAAGAAGGGTCGGCCTCCACAGAACATAAAATATTCATTTTATTTTATCTTTCGTGTTAGCATTTTAACTTTTAAACAGAACATTTAAAAACGAAAGAAAGCGGATTGCTCTCTGCTTAGTCATCCGTGAAATCTGCATTTCTCTCTGGCGCGTTCACTACTGCGAAGATCGCGAGTCAGCATCGTCAACTTCATCTTTCCAGCCGACACACTGGCTGAAAACACTTTATTAATAAACAATTAAAATGTCTCCTTGCTATATTTTACATATTCATAATCATTACTTTTACCGGTTCTTTGTGGCAGCTTTTAGATAGGCTACTTACAACATGAACGCGTCACCGCATCAGCACCGAAAACATGATTTTTTTTCTTTCAAATCTAAAATCAAAAATCGTGATACGAACCGAATTGTAGGTTTGCTTTATCGATCGTTAAGCCTTAGTAAGATGAGAAAGCAGGAGTTTAGTCGTTTGTCGTGGTTGTAAAAAAACAATGGCTATCTGAACATCTTTGCCAAGCGCAAACCGGCTACGTAATCAATACATTAGCGGGGAGGGTCATGCCTTTTTTCACAATCATTTTGGAGGGTCATAGAAACATTTATTACTGGCTAAGGGAGGGTCAAGTCTTTTTTGACTACAGATCTCAAATTTCCGCCGGTGGCCCCTTAAATAAAAAACGAACAGTCCCTAAAAGAAATGATGTGAAGTTGATATTTTAGTCACTGGCTTGACTTACTGATGCATAAACAGTATTGAACGATTTTGAGAGAAAGATTACCTGTCTGAACTTGAACAATTACACATCAGAAAGTGTTGCTTGGTAGCTCGATCCGAGGCCAGCTCTGTATTGGCCCAAGTTGAGGAAACAGTCGGTGAAATGTTTGGAAATTTCCAGAGAAAATAAAATTAACCCATTGTTTCTTCAGAGGCTCAGATGAAGGAACTAAAAAATACTTTTGTGTTCATGTGTACATCCAAACACTGAGCAACTGCCATGCTTCGGTTTTTCAGGGGTGTTTTTAAAAAACGAGATTTAACTAAGAAGGAGAAAACAATGGTGTTTGAGACTCACTGTATGTCATGTCCATGTACTGAACTCTTGTTATTTAACTATGCTAACATAAATTCAATTTCACATTCTAGGGCACCTTTAAATGTTGTTGACACTTTGAACGTTTAGGGAACATTCAGAAATAACATTTACACTCACCGGCCACTTTATTAGGTACACCTGTCCAACTGCTCGTTAACACTTAATTTCTAAGCAGCCAATCACATGGCGGCAACTCAGTGCATTTAGGCATGTAGACATGGTCAAGACAATCTCCTGCAGTTCAAACCAAGCATCAGTATGGGGAAGAAAGTTGATTTGAGTGACTTTGAACGTGGCATGATTGTTGGTGCCAGAAGGGCTGGTCTGAGTATTTCAGAAACTGCTAATCTACTGGGATTTTCACGCACAACCATCTCTAGGGTTTACAGAGAATGGTCCGAAAAAGAAAAAACATCCAGTGAGCGGCAGTTCTGTGGGCGGAAATGCCTTGTTGATGCCAGAGGTCAGAGGAGAATGGCCAGACTGGTTCGAGCTGATAGAAGGGCAACAGTGACTGAAATAACCACTCGTTACAACCGAGGTATGCAGCAAAGCATTTGTGAAGCCACAACACGCACAACCTTGAGGCGGATGGGCTACAACAGCAGAAGACTCCACCGGGTACCACTCATCTCCACTACAAATAGGAAAAAGAGGCTACAATTTGCAAGAGCTCACCAAAATTGAACAGTTGAAGACTGGAAAAATGTTGCCTGGTCTGATGAGTCTCGATTTCTGTTGAGACATTCAGATGTTAGAGTCAGAATTTGGCGTAAACAGAATGAGAACATGGAACCATCATGCCTTGTTACCACTGTGCAGGCTGGTGGTGGTGGTGTAATGGTGTGGGGGATGTTTTCCTGGCACACTTTAGGCCCCTTAGTGCCAATTGGGCATCGTTTAAATGCCACGGCCTACCTGAGCATTGTTTCTGACCATGTCCATCCCTTTATGGCCACCATGTACCCATCCTCTGATGGCTACTTCCACCATGTCACAAAGCTCTAATCATTTCAAATTGGTTTCTTGAACATGACAATGAGTTCACTGTACTAAAATGGCCTCCACAGTCACCAGATCTCAACCCAATAGAGCATCTTTGGGATGTGGTGGAACGGGAGATTCGCATCATGGATGTGCAGCCTACAAATCTGCGGCAACTGTGTGATGCCATCATGTCAATATGGACCAAACTCCCTGAGGAATGCTTCCAGCACCTTGTTGAATCTATGCCACGAAGAATTGAGGCAGTTCTGAAGGCAAAAGGGGGTCCAACCCGTTACTAGCATGGGGTACCTAATAAAGTGGCCGGTGAGTGTATATCTTAATTGGAACGTTATCAAAAAGTCCTTAGAGAATATTTGTGTTAGCTGTGTATGCACTGAAGCATAAATGCACTTTAATTTCTCCTTACTGTAGTTTCAAGCACTCAGAAATGGCCAGTTGGTCTCGTTTTCTCTGCAGTGCTTTCTGTCGCTCCTGCTGGACCGCCTGCTCTTCTCTGAAAGCCATTCGGGCCAAGATCTCTCTGTCCACGGCTCTGCTGGCGTTCTGCCTCATGCGCTTGAGCTCGATCTGAGCCTCTCTTTCCTTCAGGACCTCCGCCAGCCTCAGAGCGCTCTAGAACAACAAGAGGATCGTTTCTACTAACATTTCACCACAGAAAAACACTTGTGGTCTAATAACGTAAGACACACACATGGAGGCCTTTGACTCTGTCCGTCTGGTGGTACTGCTGGGTTTTAGTTTCCTCAATTATCTCCTTTCGTATCTGGGCCTGATATCTTGCTTCTTCCAAGTCGATACGTTTCTTCTCCTCCTCTTCCATCGCCTCTCGAATTGTTTTCGCCTCCAGTTTTTTCCGTCGTTCTCCCTGTAAGGACAAAATCAGATTTGTTTGTTGTACTTTGTTACTGTAAACATCAAGTCTCATATTATAACCCTCAGAGACCCAGGTATTCTTTTTTATTTATTTATTTTTAATGAAGAAAACTAAAATATCACATCAAGATGACATTCAAATTACAATTTAACATTATACCAAATTGTAACAAACTTAGTATTATAATAGGGGCACAGACACAAAAAGAAAATTAGACAGCGAGAAGACTAAATAAGGCTATATAAAAACAATAAAAGTGTCTGACAATTTCTATAGACAGACGTCTTTACTTTAATAATCATAATAATTTATAATTTAAATAAATTATTCTTATTTCTTAATAAAGACTCATAAAAAGGCCTATTTTCTTCCTTAAAAGTGATTAGGTCATTAAAAAGCATGATGTTTACGCATATATAGTTTTAGGAAGTACGGAGCCCCGCACAATAAGAGAGCTACAAATGCAGTAACTCCAGTGCGATGCTGTCACTCACAGCTATGGTGTTGGGCCAGTGTTTGACGAGCTCTTTAGAGCGCATGTGCAGCGCCTCCCGCTGTTCAGCCGCTGCTATTACACTTCTGCTGTGACGATTCACTCCGTTCACACGGTCCTGGACGCGCTGCCATTCAGATCTGGACAACACTAGGTCTGCTTCGGGTTTTTCCATCTCCCAACTCACAACTGTATGCATTAGACAACATATTTCCAAGTTATTATAAAAACATTCCACCGAAAGGGTGACATTTCTGTCCCCAGGTCATTATATGTATAAAATTGCATGAAAATTAACTCTAAAATACATTTTATTATTAAGCAAAATGTCCTGCACACTAAGCTAACTACAAATTTAAAATGTATAATTAAAAACATAAATAAAAACTACATAGAACACTAAAAAATAGCATTTTCTGCATGTCCCCACTCTCTATCTCTAAACTTTACCATGAAATATAATGATTAAAATCTATCAGAAATCAGATTTTTTTTGCATTGTTGTTTGACTTTATATCCAATCTATGTTTTTAAATATTTGATCTAATATTTTAGATAAAATACATATTTTAGTCGTGTCCCCGGGTTTTCACTCAGTCCTGTTTTAAACCGAAATTTAAAAAGCAAACATAAGTTCACAATAAAACGAAATAAAGCCACAACACAACAGAAATAAGCCACAACACAACAGAAATAAGCCACAACACAACAGAAATAAATGAGTTTCGGTAACAGGACTGAGAAAACATGCGTCCATCTTTTGCTTAGAAACCTTGTAAAAGTTAAATAAAGTTGCCTGAGATTGAACAACAATACACATTTTGAATAGTTAAATATGCATAGTATTAGATTCAGTGTTGAAAAATATAAAAAATAAAGTTTCATTTTGAAAAGTTACAATAAGCAAATGGTACATTCATGTAATGGTTACACAGATATTTTGTTGTGCAGTATTTTCTTTAAATACCTTGTATCCTTGTCTTATGTACAATACCTAAATGTACAATACCTAAATGTTTCCTCCTGTTTTTCTCTCCTCATTCTCGTCACTTTTTCGCTCTGGCTGGCGATCTGCTTTCTCTTCTCCTCCTCTTCCTCTTGCCTCCGAGCCTCCGCTGCTTTTGTCAGCTCTCTGTTGGTCAAATGGTCCTGATGGAAGACAGAAGAAGGGATTTCAAAACCGCATCTGATTCGATCTGCTTTTACAGTGTGAATGTTGTCCAACAACCGGCTTACACGAAAAGCATTCATTCTTTTTCTCTTCACTTCTCGATTCTGGCGCTCTTTGATGGCCTGTTCCCTCAGATGAAGATCTCGGAGTTGCTTCATCTCTTCAGCCTCCCTTCTCCTCTCCTGCTCCTTCTTCATGTCATGCTCCTTAACCCTAATAAAGGAGGAAACGTCAGACACATTGATACATTAAGGTGATTCCCAGCTAACAGGGAATGTTCTCAGAACTTTAGATACGGTTCTCTCAAAGTTACGAACAAACGTTCTTCTAGTAACATTATGTTTGTTCAAAGTTATCTGGTCTTTAATCATGTTCTCAAAACATTAACACAAAACAGAACTTATACATAATTCGTGGAGTGTTTTTTTTTACAGAAAAAGTAACAACATTAACATAACACTACTTTCCATTAAACTAACTGAGTAATACAATTAGTTAATTTTAACGTAACACAATATTGTAATGTATTACTTTTAAAAGTAACTTTCCCCAACACTGTTCAAAAGTAACATTCCCAGTGTTTGAAGAATAAAAACATTTTAAAGGTGCCCTAGAATGTTTTTTTTTATTATTTTATAATGTTTCCTGGGTTGCCCTTATAATGTTAGTATGTTTTTTAGATCAAAAATAATCATAATTTAGAAATAAATGGCATTTTTCCTAGCCTGCTTTTAGCCTCTGATTTGAACACTCTGTTTGAAGGGGCGTGTCTGCTGTGGGATTCAGTGTAACCGCGGCCACTGCTGTGATTGGCTGACATGCTTGCATATGAAATAGCTACGCATTACATGTGAAACTCTCTCGAATACTTTTACTACTGCTATTATACATTTTTACTATAACAGCTATCGAGATTAACGAATCGTGAGATGTTTTTAAAGTATTTAGATCTATTCCCATCACATAAAATGTTGCCGTGATGAGCATTGAGCAGATGACAGTGTGTTGATCGCGAGAATGAAGATATTATCATTGCAAAGCAGTTTCTGCACTCTCTCTAATGCTTTCACCAATGCAAACACGATGATGTAAATACAGTAAGAGCTTCGTTGTGCAGTAACGTGCGTCATTGATTTCATAACGAGTTTGGCAAGTGTCCAGATAAACTCGCGCTGTGTGGAAAGATTGTTCTTTGATCGCTTTCTGTATATAATTTGTTCACAATTTAAATACGATTATTTTCATCCTACTAAGGACTAAGGTTCGGTATTTATGGAAAGGTCCACCGGAGGAAAATAGGGGAGGGTCGTGTCTTTTTATTCTTTGTTGAGGGGAGGGTCATTCAATTTTTTTTAGTCTAGGGGGGAGGGTCACCCAACTTTTCTATTCATGTAAACAGCAAAATTTCAAAGTGGCTTGTTTGGTGCATATTTTTTTCCATGTATCTCCATGTAGCTCTCTCAGTCTCGGCCCCCCGTCGCTATCAGATTGGTCTGACCCAACAAAAATCCAGTTTGGCGCTGTCTGACAGTACGCGCTCAGAAAAATTGCATCATGTCAGAACTGAACGCCAATGAAATGTTTACCCGGCAAAGCTTTAAAGCACGAGCAAATAATGAACTTTTGTGATTGCGAATAACAAGGTCAGTATCCTGTGAGTGCTACTCTACCGCTGCATTAACATGTGATGTGAATGTACGTCAAGTTTTACAGTATTGGGACTGAGGCGCCAGAACTGCAGCTGATGTGCGCTGTAGCACGATACTATTCTAGTTTTCATTCTTATTGTTTCCACAACAATGTTTAGTGAGTAAATCTACTGAAATTGCCACCATAACAGTGGATATGTGTAACACGTAGGGCTACCACATTTTTAAATTACTATTAGTATTATTTGAAGTTAACATAATAAAATACGTAGACCTACACCAAAAAACTAGTTGAGGATAAAATTATTTCAAATTGGGCAATTCCAGCGTTATGGAAGTGACATTTGCAGTCAAAACCTGAAATATAAATTATCAGAAAATGCATTTAATACTGAAACGTCTGTTTATATAGGCCTATCCATATTCCCTTAATAAAGGAGTCAAGACATTAGACAAATATCAGTCTACACATGTGTTTTATATTTAATATGAGCGAAATACACATGTGACGTGACACAAAAAATCTTTAACTTTTAGATGGCAAAATATTTTTTTTTTGTAATTCTACGAATTACTGCGCAAAACAAAAGTAGGCTAATACCATAGACTGTAATACTAACCGGATGAAGAAGGGTCGGCCTCCACAGAACATAAAATATTCATTTTATTTTATCTTTCGTGTTAGCATTTTAACTTTTAAACAGAACATTTAAAAACGAAAGAAAGCGGATTGCTCTCTGCTTAGTCATCCGTGAAATCTGCATTTCTCTCTGGCGCGTTCACTACTGCGAAGATCGCGAGTCAGCATCGTCAACTTCATCTTTCCAGCCGACACACTGGCTGAAAACACTTTATTAATAAACAATTAAAATGTCTCCTTGCTATATTTTACATATTCATAATCATTACTTTTACCGGTTCTTTGTGGCAGCTTTTAGATAGGCTACTTACAACATGAACCGCATCAGCACCGAAAACATGATTTTTTTTTTTTCAAATCTAAAATCAAAAATCGTGATACGAACCGAATTGTAGGTTTGCTTTATCGATCGTTAAGCCTTAGTAAGATGAGAAAGCAGGAGTTTAGTCGTTTGTCGTGGTTGTAAAAAAACAATGGCCATCTGAACATCTTTGCCAAGCGCAAACCGGCTACGTAATCAATACATTAGCGGGGAGGGTCATGCCTTTTTTCACAATCATTTTGGAGGGTCATAGAAACATTTATTACTGGCTAAGGGAGGGTCAAGTCTTTTTTGACTACAGATCTCAAATTTCCGCCGGTGGCCCCTTAAATAAAAAACGAACAGTCCCTAAAAGAAACTATGTGAAGTTGATATTTTAGTCACTGGCTTGACTTACTGATGCATAAACAGTATTGAACAATTTTGAGAGAAAGATTACCTGTCTGAACTTGAACAATTACACATCAGAAAGTGTTGCTTGGTAGCTCGATCCGAGGCCAGCTCTGTATTGGCCCAAGTTGAGGAAACAGTCGGTGAAATGTTTGGAAATTTCCAGAGAAAATAAAATTAACCCATTGTTTCTTCAGAGGCTCAGATGAAGGAACTAAAAAATACTTTTGTGTTCATGTGTACATCCAAACACTGAGCAACTGCCATGCTTCGGTTTTTCAGGGGTGTTTTTAAAAAACGAGATTTAACTAAGAAGGAGAAAACAATGGTGTTTGAGACTCACTGTATGTCATGTCCATGTACTGAACTCTTGTTATTTAACTATGCTAACATAAATTCAATTTCACATTCTAGGGCACCTTTAAATGTTGTTGACACTTTGAACGTTTAGGGAACATTCAGAAATAACATTTACACTCACCGGCCACTTTATTAGGTACACCTGTCCAACTGCTCGTTAACACTTAATTTCTAAGCAGCCAATCACATGGCGGCAACTCAGTGCATTTAGGCATGTAGACATGGTCAAGACAATCTCCTGCAGTTCAAACTAGGGCTGCAACAACTAATCGATAAAATCGATAATAATCGATTATGAAAATCGTTGTCAACGAATGTCATTATCGATTAGTTGGTCTGCTTACGTCACGGGGAGCGTTTACTGGTGATTGGTTGAAACAGGCCAATCAGGATGCTCTCTGTCTTACACGCGCTTCATGAGGCACACACGCAAGGTCTCTCTCCCTCCGCTGCTCTGCCGCGCGCTCGCGCTACACGGTTTGGAGCACAGTCTCTTCTGTCTCGCATGCGCGCTCTTGCTTGCGCGCTCAAATCCCGGGAGTTTGAACTAATTTGCGGGCATCAGGGAGCCGCATAAGCCGCTATCAATATGCGGGGGACTCCCAGAACTTCCGGGAGACTTGGGATGTCTGTATTTTGTCTCGAGCATCAGGTTGCGCAATCAGTTCGCTCGCAACATAAGTGAGGGATTAAAATAGCGCTACCGCAGAAATAGGTTAAATTAAAACGGTCTTTACAAAGCGAAGCACTAAATATAAAGGCAGTTAATAACAGCAGCAGTAAAAGATTGTTTTTTAGTCACTGTACTCAGTGGTTTTCAGCAAATGCTTGTGCACTAATGCATCATTTTTCCTGTCTTTTTAATCAAGCCTGTTAGCTTGCTGCGTAACTCCATTCCTTTCTCTATTTACAGCATTTGTCTATTAAGTTTTAATTGTTTTTCAAACGCGATCTACTGCGGCTCTACGTTCACACGCTTGTTTTCAGTCTTTCTATATTTATTTTATCAATGTATCCTTATAATTCAATTAATTTTAAATAAAAATTAAATGAATTATATATTTTAGATGTTTTTAGTTTATATCTTCACATCTGAACAACATGTCTGTGTAAATTTGTTTTAACAAAAATTGTGTTAAAACAATATGTTGGATATAAATGTTTTTTTTTTTTTTTTTTTACATTAATCATGGTTGTCAACTTGCCATCAGCAATTATCATTAAAAACAATGCAAATATTGATATTACTAAAACTCAAATGTGTGGCTTTTGCACTTTTTAAAATACATTTTTACACATAAATATCCTAACTTAGGGTTTTAGGTAACACTTTATTTTACGGTGTCCTTGTTACATATGTTACATGTACTCACTGTAGTAATAACAGTAAATTATGCATAATTACATGCAACTAACCCTCAACGAAATCCTAAATCATACCCTATTCCTATAGTAAGTACATGTAGTTACTTAATATTACTCTGTACTTAAATATATAATTACACTGTAACAAGGACACCTTAAAACAAAGTGTAACCGGGTTTTATTTAGTCAATAAACAAAAAAATCAAATTGAAATTTGGTATCCGATTAATCGATTAATCGAAAAAATAATCGTCCGATTAATCGATTATCAAAATAATCGTTAGTTGCAGCCCTAGTTCAAACCGAGCATCAGTATGGGGAAGAAAGTTGATTTGAGTGACTTTGAACGTGGCATGATTGTTGGTGCCAGAAGGGCTGGTCTGAGTATTTCAGAAACTGCTAATCTACTGGGATTTTCACGCACAACCATCTCTAGGGTTTACAGAGAATGGTCCGAAAAAGAAAAAACATCCAGTGAGCGGCAGTTCTGTGGGCGGAAATGCCTTGTTGATGCCAGAGGTCAGAGGAGAATGGCCAGACTGGTTCGAGCTGATAGAAGGGCAACAGTGACTGAAATAACCACTCGTTACAACCGAGGTATGCAGCAAAGCATTTGTGAAGCCACAACACGCACAACCTTGAGGCGGATGGGCTACAACAGCAGAAGACCCCACCGGGTACCACTCATCTCCACTACAAATAGGAAAAAGAGGCTACAATTTGCAAGAGCTCACCAAAATTGAACAGTTGAAGACTGGAAAAATGTTGCCTGGTCTGATGAGTCTCGATTTCTGTTGAGACATTCAGATGTTAGAGTCAGAATTTGGCGTAAACAGAATGAGAACATGGAACCATCATGCCTTGTTACCACTGTGCAGGCTGGTGGTGGTGGTGTAATGGTGTGGGGGATGTTTTCCTGGCACACTTTAGGCCCCTTAGTGCCAATTGGGCATCGTTTAAATGCCACGGCCTACCTGAGCATTGTTTCTGACCATGTCCATCCCTTTATGGCCACCATGTACCCATCCTCTGATGGCTACTTCCACCATGTCACAAAGCTCTAATCATTTCAAATTGGTTTCTTGAACATGACAATGAGTTCACTGTACTAAAATGGCCTCCACAGTCACCAGATCTCAACCCAATAGAGCATCTTTGGGATGTGGTGGAACGGGAGATTCGCATCATGGATGTGCAGCCGACAAATCTGCGGCAACTGTGTGATGCCATCATGTCAATATGGACCAAACTCCCTGAGGAATGCTTCCAGCACCTTGTTGAATCTATGCCACGAAGAATTGAGGCAGTTCTGAAGGCAAAAGGGGGTCCAACCCGTTACTAGCATGGGGTACCTAATAAAGTGGCCGGTGAGTGTATATCTTAATTGGAACGTTATCAAAAAGTCCTTAGAGCATATTTGTGTTAGCTGTGTATGCACTGAAGCATAAATGCACTTTAATTTCTCCTTACTGTAGTTTCAAGCACTCAGAAATGGCCAGTTGGTCTCGTTTTCTCTGCAGTGCTTTCTGTCGCTCCTGCTGGACCGCCTGCTCTTCTCTGCAAGCCATTCGGGCCAAGATCTCTCTGTCCACGGCTCTGCTGGCGTTCTGCCTCATGCGCTTGAGCTCGATCTGAGCCTCTCTTTCCTTCAGGACCTCCGCCAGCCTCAGAGCGCTCTAGAACAACAAGAGGATCGTTTTACTAACATTTCACCACAGAAAAACACTTGTGGTCTAATAACGTAAGACACACACATGGAGGCCTTTGACTCTGTCCGTCTGGTGGTACTGCTGGGTTTTAGTTTCCTCAATTATCTCCTTTCGTATCTGGGCCTGATATCTTGCTTCTTCCAAGTCGATACGTTTCTTCTCCTCCTCTTCCATCGCCTCTCGAATTGTTTTCGCCTCCAGTTTTTTCCGTCGTTCTCCCTGTAAGGACAAAATCAGATTTGTTTGTTGTACTTTGTTACTGTAAACATCCAGTCTCATATTATAACCCTCAGAGACCCAGGTATTCTTTTATTTATTTATTTTTAATGAAGAAAAACTAAAATATCACATCAAGATGACATTCAAATTACAATTTAACATTATACCAAATTGTAACAAACTTAGTATTATAATAGGGGCACAGACACAAAAAGAAAATCAGACAGCGAGAAGTCTAAATAAGGCTATATAAAAACAATAAAAGTGTCTGACAATGTTTCTATAGACAGACGTCTTTACTTTAATAATCATAATAATTTATAATTTAAATAAATTATTCTTATTTCTTAATAAAGACTCATAAAAAGGCCTATTTTCTTCCTTAAAAGTGATTAGGTCATTAAAAAGCATGATGTTTACGCATATATAGTTTTAGGAAGTACGGAGCCCCGCACAATAAGAGAGCTACAAATGCAGTAACTCCAGTGCGATGCTGTCACTCACAGCTATGGTGTTGGGCCAGTGTTTGACGAGCTCTTTAGAGCGCATGTGCAGCGCCTTCCGCTGTTCAGCCGCTGCTATTACACTTCTGCTGTGACGATTCACTCCGTTCACACGGTCCTGGACGCGCTGCCATTCAGATCTGGACAACACTAGGTCTGCTTCGGGTTTTTCCATCTCCCAACTCACAACTGTATGCATTAGACAACATATTTCCAAGTTATTATAAAAGCCATTCCACCGAAAGGGTGACATTTCTGTCCCCAGGTCATTATATGTATAAAATTGCATGAAAATTAACTCTAAAATACATTTTATTATTAAGCAAAATGTCCTACACACTAAGCTAACTACAAATTTAAAATGTATAGTTAAAAACATAAATAAAAACTACATAGAACACTAAAAAATAGCATTTTCTGCATGTCCCCACTCTCTATCTCTAAACTTTACCATGAAATATAATGATTAAAATCTATCAGAAATCAGATTTTTTTTGCATTGTTGTTTGACTTTATATCCAATCTATGTTTTTAAATATTTTATCTAATATTTTAGATAAAATACATATTTTAGTCGTGTCCCCGGGTTTTCACTCAGTCCTGTTTTAAACCGAAATTTAAAAAGCAAACATAAGTTCACAATAAAACGAAATAAAGCCACAACACAACAGAAATAAGCCACAACACAACAGAAATAAGCCACAACACAACACAACAGAAATAAGCCACAACACAACACAACAGAAATAAAGCCACAACACAACAGAAATAAGCCACAACACAACAGAAATAAGCCACAACACAACAGAAATAAGCCACAACACAACAGAAATAAGCCACAACACAACAGAAATAAGCCACAACACAACAGAAATAAAGCCACAACACAACAGAAATAAGCCACAACACAACAGAAATAAATGAGTTTCGGTAACAGGACTGAGAAAACATGCGTCCATCTTTTGCTTAGAAACCTTGTAAAAATTAAATAAAGTTGCCTGAGATTGAACAACAATACACATTTTGAATAGTTAAATATGCATAGTATTAGATTCAGTGTTGAAAAATATAAAAAATAAAGTTTCATTTTGAAAAGTTACAATAAGCAAATGGTACATTCATTTAATGGTTACACAGATATTTTGTTGTGCAGTATTTTCTTTAAATACCTTGTATCCTTGTCTTATGTACAATACCTAAATGTACAATACCTAAATGTACAATACCTAAATGTACAATACCTAAATGTTTCCTCCTGTTTTTCTCTCCTCATTCTCGTCACTTTTTCGCTCTGGCTGGCGATCTGCTTTCTCTTCTCCTCCTCTTCCTCTTGCCTCCGAGCCTCCGCTGCTTTTGTCAGCTCTCTGTTGGTCAAATGGTCCTGATGGAAGACAGAAGAAGGGATTTCAAAACCGCATCTGATTCGATCTGCTTTTACAGTGTGAATGTTGTCCAACAACCGGCTTACACGAAAAGCATTCATTCTTTTTCTCTTCACTTCTCGATTCTGGCGCTCTTTGATGGCCTGTTCCCTCAGATGAAGATCTCGGAGTTGCTTCATCTCTTCAGCCTCCCTTCTCCTCTCCTGCTCCTTCTTCATGTCATGCTCCTTAACCCTAATAAAGGAGGAAACGTCAGACACATTGATACATTAAGGTGATTCCCAGCTAACAGGGAATGTTCTCAGAACTTTAGATACGGTTCTCTCAAAGTTACGAACAAACGTTCTTCTAGTAACATTATGTTTGTTCAAAGTTATCTGGTCTTTAATCATGTTCTCAAAACATTAACACAAAACAGAACTTATACATAATTCGTGGAGTGTACAGAAAAAGTAACAACATTAACATAACACTACTTTCCATTAAACTAACTAAGTAATACAATTAGTTAATTTTAACGTAACACAATATTGTAATGTATTACTTTTAAAAGTAACTTTCCCCAACACTGTTCAAAAGTAACATTCCCAGTGTTTGAAGAATAAAAACATTTTAAAGGTGCCCTAGAATGTTTTTTTTTATTATTTTATAATGTTTCCTGGGTTGCCCTTATAATGTTAGTATGTTTTTTAGATCAAAAATAATCATAATTTAGAAATAAATGGCATTTTTCCTAGCCTGCTTTTAGCCTCTGATTTGAACACTCTGTTTGAAGGGGCGTGTCTGCTGTGGGATTCAGTGTAACCGCGGCCACTGCTGTGATTGGCTGACATGCTTGCATATGAAATAGCTACGCATTACATGTGAAACTCTCTCGAATACTTTTACTACTGCTATTATACATTTTTACTATAACAGCTATCGAGATTAACGAATCGTGAGATGTTTTTAAAGTATTTAGATCTATTCCCATCACATAAAATGTTGCCGTGATGAGCATTGAGCAGATGACAGTGTGTTGATCGCGAGAATGAAGATATTATCATTGCAAAGCAGTTTCTGCACTCTCTCTAATGCTTTCACCAATGCAAACACGATGATGTAAATACAGTAAGAGCTTCGTTGTGCAGTAACGTGCGTCATTGATTTCATAACGAGTTTGGCAAGTGTCCAGATAAACTCGCGCTGTGTGGAAAGATTGTTCTTTGATCGCTTTCTGTATATAATTTGTTCACAATTTAAATACGATTATTTTCATCCTACTAAGGACTAAGGTTCGGTATTTATGGAAAGGTCCACCGGAGGAAAATAGGGGAGGGTCGTGTCTTTTTATTCTTTGTTGAGGGGAGGGTCATTAAATTTTTTTTAGTCTAGGGGGGAGGGTCACCCAACTTTTCTATTCATGTAAACAGCAAAATTTCAAAGTGGCTTGTTTGGTGCATATTTTTTTCCATGTATCTCCATGTAGCTCTCTCAGTCTCGGCCCCCCGTCGCTATCAGATTGGTCTGACCCAACAAAAATCCAGTTTGGCGCTGTCTGACAGTACGCGCTCAGAAAAATTGCATCATGTCAGAACTGAACGCCAATGAAATGTTTACCCGGCAAAGCTTTAAAGCACGAGCAAATAATGAACTTTTGTGATTGCGAATAACAAGGTCAGTATCCTGTGAGTGCTACTCTACCGCTGCATTAACATGTGATGTGAATGTACGTCAAGTTTTACAGTATTGGGACTGAGGCGCCAGAACTGCAGCTGATGTGCGCTGTAGCACGATACTATTCTAGTTTTCATTCTTATTGTTTCCACAACAATGTTTAGTGAGTAAATCTACTGAAATTGCCACCATAACAGTGGATATGTGTAACACGTAGGGCTACCACATTTTTTAATTACTATTAGTATTATTTGAAGTTAACATAATAAAATACGTAGACCTACACCAAAAAACTAGTTGAGGATAAAATTATTTCAAATTGGGCAATTCCAGCGTTATGGAAGTGACATTTGCAGTCAAAACCTGAAATATAAATTATCAGAAAATGCATTTAATACTGAAACGTCTGTTTATATAGGCCTATCCATATTCCCTTAATAAAGGAGTCAAGACATTAGACAAATATCAGTCTACACATGTATTTTATATTTAATATGAGCGAAATACACATGTGACGTGACACAAAAAATCTTTAACTTTTAGATGGCAAAATATTTTTTTTTGTAATTCTACGAATTACTGCGCAAAACAAAAGTAGGCTAATACCATAGACTGTAATACTAACCGGATGAAGAAGGGTCGGCCTCCACAGAACATAAAATATTCATTTTATTTTATCTTTCGTGTTAGCATTTTAACTTTTAAACAGAACATTTAAAAACGAAAGAAAGCGGATTGCTCTCTGCTTAGTCATCCGTGAAATCTGCATTTCTCTCAGGCGCGTTCACTACTGCGAAGATCGCGAGTCAGCATCGTCAACTTCATCTTTCCAGCCGACACACTGGCTGAAAACACTTTATTAATAAACAATTAAAATGTCTCCTTGCTATATTTTACATATTCATAATCATTACTTTTACCGGTTCTTTGTGGCAGCTTTTAGATAGGCTACTTACAACATGAACGCGTCACCGCATCAGCACCGAAAACATGATTTTTTTTTTTTTCAAATCTAAAATCAAAAATCGTGATACGAACCGAATTGTAGGTTTGCTTTATCGATCGTTAAGCCTTAGTAAGATGAGAAAGCAGGAGTTTAGTCGTTTGTCGTGGTTGTAAAAAAACAATGGCTATCTGAACATCTTTGCCAAGCGCAAACCGGCTACGTAATCAATACATTAGCGGGGAGGGTCATGCCTTTTTTCACAATCATTTTGGAGGGTCATAGAAACATTTATTACTGGCTAAGGGAGGGTCAAGTCTTTTTTGACTACAGATCTCAAATTTCCGCCGGTGGCCCCTTAAATAAAAAACGAACAGTCCCTAAAAGAAACGATGTGAAGTTGATATTTTAGTCACTGGCTTGACTTACTGATGCATAAACAGTATTGAACGATTTTGAGAGAAAGATTACCTGTCTGAACTTGAACAATTACACATCAGAAAGTGTTGCTTGGTAGCTCGATCCGAGGCCAGCTCTGTATTGGCCCAAGTTGAGGAAACAGTCGGTGAAATGTTTGGAAATTTCCAGAGAAAATAAAATTAACCCATTGTTTCTTCAGAGGCTCAGATGAAGGAACTAAAAAATACTTTTGTGTTCATGTGTACATCCAAACACTGAGCAACTGCCATGCTTCGGTTTTTCAGGGGTGTTTTTAAAAAACGAGATTTAACTAAGAAGGAGAAAACAATGGTGTTTGAGACTCACTGTATGTCATGTCCATGTACTGAACTCTTGTTATTTAACTATGCTAACATAAATTCAATTTCACATTCTAGGGCACCTTTAAATGTTGTTGACACTTTGAACGTTTAGGGAACATTCAGAAATAACATTTACACTCACCGGCCACTTTATTAGGTACACCTGTCCAACTGCTCGTTAACACTTAATTTCTAAGCAGCCAATCACATGGTGGCAACTCAGTGCATTTAGGCATGTAGACATGGTCAAGACAATCTCCTGCAGTTCAAACCGAGCATCAGTATGGGGAAGAAAGTTGATTTGAGTGACTTTGAACGTGGCATGATTGTTGGTGCCAGAAGGGCTGGTCTGAGTATTTCAGAAACTGCTAATCTACTGGGATTTTCACGCACAACCATCTCTAGGGTTTACAGAGAATGGTCCGAAAAAGAAAAAACATCCAGTGAGCGGCAGTTCTGTGGGCGGAAATGCCTTGTTGATGCCAGAGGTCAGAGGAGAATGGCCAGACTGGTTCGAGCTGATAGAAGGGCAACAGTGACTGAAATAACCACTCGTTACAACCGAGGTATGCAGCAAAGCATTTGTGAAGCCACAACACGCACAACCTTGAGGCGGATGGGCTACAACAGCAGAAGACCCCACCGGGTACCACTCATCTCCACTACAAATAGGAAAAAGAGGCTACAATTTGCAAGAGCTCACCAAAATTGAACAGTTGAAGACTGGAAAAATGTTGCCTGGTCTGATGAGTCTCGATTTCTGTTGAGACATTCAGATGTTAGAGTCAGAATTTGGCGTAAACAGAATGAGAACATGGAACCATCATGCCTTGTTACCACTGTGCAGGCTGGTGGTGGTGGTGTAATGGTGTGGGGGATGTTTTCCTGGCACACTTTAGGCCCCTTAGTGCCAATTGGGCATCGTTTAAATGCCACGGCCTACCTGAGCATTGTTTCTGACCATGTCCATCCCTTTATGGCCACCATGTACCCATCCTCTGATGGCTACTTCCACCATGTCACAAAGCTCTAATCATTTCAAATTGGTTTCTTGAACATGACAATGAGTTCACTGTACTAAAATGGCCTCCACAGTCACCAGATCTCAACCCAATAGAGCATCTTTGGGATGTGGTGGAACGGGAGATTCGCATCATGGATGTGCAGCCGACAAATCTGCGGCAACTGTGTGATGCCATCATGTCAATATGGACCAAACTCCCTGAGGAATGCTTCCAGCACCTTGTTGAATCTATGCCACGAAGAATTGAGGCAGTTCTGAAGGCAAAAGGGGGTCCAACCCGTTACTAGCATGGGGTACCTAATAAAGTGGCCGGTGAGTGTATATCTTAATTGGAACGTTATCAAAAAGTCCTTAGAGCATATTTGTGTTAGCTGTGTATGCACTGAAGCATAAATGCACTTTAATTTCTCCTTACTGTAGTTTCAAGCACTCAGAAATGGCCAGTTGGTCTCGTTTTCTCTGCAGTGCTTTCTGTCGCTCCTGCTGGACCGCCTGCTCTTCTCTGCAAGCCATTCGGGCCAAGATCTCTCTGTCCACGGCTCTGCTGGCGTTCTGCCTCATGCGCTTGAGCTCGATCTGAGCCTCTCTTTCCTTCAGGACCTCCGCCAGCCTCAGAGCGCTCTAGAACAACAAGAGGATCGTTTCTACTAACATTTCACCACAGAAAAACACTTGTGGTCTAATAACGTAAGACACACACATGGAGGCCTTTGACTCTGTCCGTCTGGTGGTACTGCTGGGTTTTAGTTTCCTCAATTATCTCCTTTCGTATCTGGGCCTGATATCTTGCTTCTTCCAAGTCGATACGTTTCTTCTCCTCCTCTTCCATCGCCTCTCGAATTGTTTTCGCCTCCCGTTTTTTCCGTCGTTCTCACTGTAAGGACAAAATCAGATTTGTTTGTTGTACTTTGTTACTGTAAACATCAAGTCTCATATTATAACCCTCAGAGACCCAGGTATTCTTTTTTATTTATTTATTTTTAATGCAGAAAACTAAAATATCACATCAAGATGACATTCAAATTACAATTTAACATTATACCAAATTGTAACAAACTTAGTATTATAATAGGGGCACAGACACAAAAAGAAAATTAGACAGCGAGAAGACTAAATAAGGCTATATAAAAACAATAAAAGTGTCTGACAATGTTTCTATAGACAGACGTCTTTACTTTAATAATCATAATAATTTATAATTTAAATAAATTATTCTTATTTCTTAATAAAGACTCATAAAAAGGCCTATTTTCTTCCTTAAAAGTGATTAGGTCATTAAAAAGCATGATGTTTACGCATATATAGTTTTAGGAAGTACGGAGCCCCGCACAATAAGAGAGCTACAAATGCAGTAACTCCAGTGCGATGCTGTCACTCACAGCTATGGTGTTGGGCCAGTGTTTGACGAGCTCTTTAGAGCGCATGTGCAGCGCCTCCCGCTGTTCAGCCGCTGCTATGACACTTCTGCTGTGACGATTCACTCCGTTCACACGGTCCTGGACGCGCTGCCATTCAGATCTGGACAACACTAGGTCTGCTTCGGGTTTTTCCATCTCCCAACTCACAACTGTATGCATTAGACAACATATTTCCAAGTTATTATAAAAACATTCCACCGAAAGGGTGACATTTCTGTCCCCAGGTCATTATATGTATAAAATTGCATGAAAATTAACTCTAAAATACATTTTATTATTAAGCAAAATGTCCTGCACACTAAGCTAACTACAAATTTAAAATGTATAATTAAAAACATAAATAAAAACTACATAGAACACTAAAAAATAGCATTTTCTGCATGTCCCCACTCTCTATCTCTAAACTTTACCATGAAATATAATGATTAAAATCTATCAGAAATCAGATTTTTTTTGCATTGTTGTTTGACTTTATATCCAATCTATGTTTTTAAATATTTTATCTAATATTTTAGATAAAATACATATTTTAGTCGTGTCCCCGGGTTTTCACTCAGTCCTGTTTTAAACCGAAATTTAAAAAGCAAACATAAGTTCACAATAAAACGAAATAAAGCCACAACACAACAGAAATAAGCCACAACACAACAGAAATAAATGAGTTTCGGTAACAGGACTGAGAAAACATGCGTCCATCTTTTGCTTAGAAACCTTGTAAAAATTAAATAAAGTTGCCTGAGATTGAACAACAATACACATTTTGAATAGTTAAATATGCATAGTATTAGATTCAGTGTTGAAAAATATAAAAAATAAAGTTTCATTTTGAAAAGTTACAATAAGCAAATGGTACATTCATGTAATGGTTACACAGATATTTTGTTGTGCAGTATTTTCTTTAAATACCTTGTATCCTTGTCTTATGTACAATACCTAAATGTACAATACCTAAATGTACAATACCTAAATGTTTCCTCCTGTTTTTCTCTCCTCATTCTCGTCACTTTTTCGCTCTGGCTGGCGATCTGCTTTCTCTTCTCCTCCTCTTCCTCTTGCCTCCGAGCCTCCGCTGCTTTTGTCAGCTCTCTGTTGGTCAAATGGTCCTGATGGAAGACAGAAGAAGGGATTTCAAAACCGCATCTGATTCGATCTGCTTTTACAGTGTGAATGTTGTCCAACAACCGGCTTACACGAAAAGCATTCATTCTTTTTCTCTTCACTTCTCGATTCTGGCGCTCTTTGATGGCCTGTTCCCTCAGATGAAGATCTCGGAGTTGCTTCATCTCTTCAGCCTCCCTTCTCCTCTCCTGCTCCTTCTTCATGTCATGCTCCTTAACCCTAATAAAGGAGGAAACGTCAGACACATTGACACATTAAGGTGATTCCCAGCTAACAGGGAATGTTCTCAGAACTTTAGAAACGGTTCTCTCAAAGTTACGAACAAACGTTCTTCTAGTAACATTATGTTTGTTCAAAGTTATCTGGTCTTTAATCATGTTCTCAAAACATTAACACAAAACAGAACTTATACATAATTCGTGGAGTGTTTTTTTTTACAGAAAAAGTAACAACATTAACATAACACTACTTTCCATTAAACTAACTAAGTAATACAATTAGTTAATTTTAACGTAACACAATATTGTAATGTATTACTTTTAAAAGTAACTTTCCCCAACACTGTTCAAAAGTAACATTCCCAGTGTTTGAAGAATAAAAACATTTTAAAGGTGCCCAAGAATGTTTTTTTTTATTATTTTATAATGTTTCCTGGGTTGCCCTTATAATGTTAGTATGTTTTTTAGATCAAAAATAATCATAATTTAGAAATAAATGGCATTTTTCCTAGCCTGCTTTTAGCCTCTGATTTGAACACTCTGTTTGAAGGGGCGTGTCTGCTGTGGGATTCAGTGTAACCGCGGCCACTGCTGTGATTGGCTGACATGCTTGCATATGAAATAGCTACGCATTACATGTGAAACTCTCTCGAATACTTTTACTACTGCTATTATACGTTTTTACTATAACAGCTATCGAGATTAACGAATCGTGAGATGTTTTTAAAGTATTTAGATCTATTCCCATCACATAAAATGTTGCCGTGATGAGCATTGAGCAGATGACAGTGTGTTGATCGCGAGAATGAAGATATTATCATTGCAAAGCAGTGTCTTCACTCTCTCTAATGCTTTCACCAATGCAAACACGATGATGTAAATACAGTAAGAGCTTCGTTGTGCAGTAACGTGCGTCATTGATTTCATAACGAGTTTGGCAAGTGTCCAGATAAACTCGCGCTGTGTGGAAAGATTGTTCTTTGATCGCTTTCTGTATATAATTTGTTCACAATTTAAATACGATTATTTTCATCCTACTAAGGACTAAGGTTCGGTATTTATGGAAAGGTCCACCGGAGGAAAATAGGGGAGGGTCGTGTCTTTTTATTCTTTGTTGAGGGGAGGGTCATTCAATTTTTTTAGTCTAGGGGGGAGGGTCACCCAACTTTTCTATTCATGAAAACAGCAAAATTTCAAAGTGGCTTGTTTGGTGCATATTTTTTTCCATGTATCTCCATGTAGCTCTCTCAGTCTCGGCCCCCCGTCGCTATCAGATTGGTCTGACCCAACAAAAATCCAGTTTGGCGCTGTCTGACAGTACGCGCTCAGAAAAATTGCATCATGTCAGAACTGAACGCCAATGAAATGTTTACCCGGCAAAGCTTTAAAGCACGAGCAAATAATGAACTTTTGTGATTGCGAATAACAAGGTCAGTATCCTGTGAGTGCTACTCTACCGCTGCATTAACATGTGATGTGAATGTACGTCAAGTTTTACAGTATTGGGACTGAGGCGCCAGAACTGCAGCTGATGTGCGCTGTAGCACGATACTATTCTAGTTTTCATTCTTATTGTTTCCACAACAATGTTTAGTGAGTAAATCTACTGAAATTGCCACCATAACAGTGGATATGTGTAACACGTAGGGCTACCACATTTTTAAATTACTATTAGTATTATTTGAAGTTAACATAATAAAATACGTAGACCTACACCAAAAAACTAGTTGAGGATAAAATTATTTCAAATTGGGCAATTCCAGCGTTATGGAAGTGACATTTGCAGTCAAAACCTGAAATATAAATTATCAGAAAATGCATTTAATACTGAAACGTCTGTTTATATAGGCCTATCCATATTCCCTTAATAAAGGAGTCAAGACATTAGACAAATATCAGTCTACACATGTATTTTATATTTAATATGAGCGAAATACACATGTGACGTGACACAAAAAATCTTTAACTTTTAGATGGCAAAATATTTTTTTTTGTAATTCTACGAATTACTGCGCAAAACAAAAGTAGGCTAATACCATAGACTGTAATACTAACCGGATGAAGAAGGGTCGGCCTCCACAGAACATAAAATATTCATTTTATTTTATCTTTCGTGTTAGCATTTTAACTTTTAAACAGAACATTTAAAAACGAAAGAAAGCGGATTGCTCTCTGCTTAGTCATCCGTGAAATCTGCATTTCTCTCTGGCGCGTTCACTACTGCGAAGATCGCGAGTCAGCATCGTCAACTTCATCTTTCCAGCCGACACACTGGCTGAAAACACTTTATTAATAAACAATTAAAATGTCTCCTTGCTATATTTTACATATTCATAATCATTACTTTTACCGGTTCTTTGTGGCAGCTTTTAGATAGGCTACTTACAACATGAACGCGTCACCGCATCAGCACCGAAAACATGATTTTTTTTTTTTTCAAATCTAAAATCAAAAATCGTGATACGAACCGAATTGTAGGTTTGCTTTATCGATCGTTAAGCCTTAGTAAGATGAGAAAGCAGGAGTTTAGTCGTTTGTCGTGGTTGTAAAAAAACAATGGCTATCTGAACATCTTTGCCAAGCGCAAACCGGCTACGTAATCAATACATTAGCGGGGATGGTCATGCCTTTTTTCACAATCATTTTGGAGGGTCATAGAAACATTTATTACTGGCTAAGGGAGGGTCAAGTCTTTTTTGACTACAGATCTCAAATTTCCGCCGGTGGCCCCTTAAATAAAAAACGAACAGTCCCTAAAAGAAACGATGTGAAGTTGATATTTTAGTCACTGGCTTGACTTACTGATGCATAAACAGTATTGAACGATTTTGAGAGAAAGATTACCTGTCTGAACTTGAACAATTACACATCAGAAAGTGTTGCTTGGTAGCTCGATCCGAGGCCAGCTCTGTATTGGCCCAAGTTGAGGAAACAGTCGGTGAAATGTTTGGAAATTTCCAGAGAAAATAAAATTAACCCATTGTTTCTTCAGAGGCTCAGATGAAGGAACTAAAAAATACTTTTGTGTTCATGTGTACATCCAAACACTGAGCAACTGCCATGCTTCGGTTTTT